AGAGCTTCAGCAGGAGGCTGGAGCCGAGCACCCACTGTCTCACCAGCCTGAGCCAAGCTGTCAGATTGGAGCCAGACCAGCCCTAAGCCCACACTCTCTGCAGACTCTTCTCCACCTAGGCCCTCAAGTCTGCAACATTCACTGAGCACATCCTAAGTGCCTACCTGTGGTTGGCTATGCATAGACAGACAGGAACGTGTATTTATTGATATATTGAGAGTCACACTCTTGGCGTGGATTCCCTGAAATCCCTGAAAAATATAAAAAGACCCTGTCTTCAAGAAGCTTGAAATCTAGAGGGGAAACAAGGGAACAGACTGCTCCTAAAGATATAAGCAGTTGCTTCTATGGGGGTCACAACAAAGTGTGGCTGAAGCATGAGAGCCCCTCAGCCTGGCTGAATAAGTCCAGGAAAACTCAGGAAGTATTGGTCTGAGACCTGAGGGTGAGGAGGGGCTTGCCAGATAGACAAGCAGAGGAACAGCAGGTGTAAAGGCATGCAAACTTGAGAACTGCAATAGGTTATTAGTGCGACAGAGGGGTGGGAAGTGGGAGGTGGTGGAAGGTGAGGTTGGACCAGTGACCATGGACCAGATCTAACAAGTCCTGGTGTGCCATGCTAAGAAGCTTAGATGTGAGATCATGCCAAGACTGCAGATTTTGGAGCAGACTGAACGTGATCCAGCTTGCATTTTAGAAAGATGATTTTGGCTGCAAAAGGGACGACTGAGGAAGGGAGCTCAGAGAGGTGGTAGTAAGCCTTAGCTAAGCCAGTGGCAGTGAGGACGGAGAAAATATAGGTAGGAGTTAGTTAATAGGGCTTGGTGATTAATTGGACGTGAAGAGGAATAAAGAGCCAAGGATGACTTCGAGATTCCTGATCTGGGCCACTGAGTGGATAATGGGGCCATCCACTGTCATGGGGAACACCGGGAGAGAAACAGGTTCGTGCAAAGTATAAGCTCATTTTGGTAAATGGTGAATTTGTGCTGCTTGTGGAATACCCAGGGGGCAGTTGCTTCTGCCTTCTGGAGCTGGAAAGAGGTCTGGGTGAGTGACAGACTGGGGAGTTGTCAGAGGGTCCTTAGAGTCATGGGAGTAACTGAGACCGTCTAGGGAAGCGAAAAGAGAAGGGAAGGGCCCCAAAGTAAGTGGCGACCACACATGGTTCCTGCTCTCAAAGTACTCTCCCTCACGCAGTGGGGGAGCCAAACCCCACAGAAAGCCTCATAATACAAGGCAGACTGAGCTCTGTACTTCAATGAGAGATGATCAGAGAGTTCTGGGTTCCAGATCAGGGAGGGGGCTAGCCTAACTAGGGGAGACCAAGCTTGCTCCTGGTAATTCAGCCGAGAGGGAGGAAAGGGGGGCCTGAGCTGCAGTTGTGGGATCTAACCACGAGGTGGCGCCTCAGCATCTCCTCGTGCCAGATTTCCTCCAGCCTGCAAACACTCAGACCCAGAGCAGGAGGTTGTCAAAGGCTGGGAGGAGGGAGGCTGTGTCCACAATAAAGGAGGCAGGCCTGAGTTTTTTCTTAACATACAGTCCAAATGCAAGCTCACTTTTTGAAAAGATAGGGAAAGATTTGAGTCTGAGAGAAGAGTAATATGCCAAGTATGCCAAATGGGAGTCCATACGTGTTTGAACACGCACACCTATGTGTCAACATATATCCCGTGTTCCCACGTGTGTGTGTGTTTCCCATGAGTGTCTCTGTGCATGTTGTATGCCCCATGTGCCCAGGAGAATCTGCATGTGTTCCCCTGTGCACGTCCCAGGCCTCCACATGTATGCATGTATCCCAGAGAGTGGGCAACCAGCAGTGCCCACCTCCATGCCTCAGAAAGTGAGGAGTCCCTGGGCCCTGAAAGAGAAGAGACACAGAGTCTGCAGCCATAGGACCTTGAAGTTTTTAGGAGCCCCAAAGCAGCAGCAGATCATGGAGAACGTTCCTCTCCCCACTAGCCATAATCAAAGTCATTTGTCAAATGATCTCCTTAGATTATTCCTGGGTTCTATGTCTAGCTACCCAGGGTCACGTTCACATGGAGGCTTCCTAAAGAATCCCTCAATAGGCCGAAAGATTCATAAACTCATCCATTTATTCATTTATCATTTAATAAGCATTCACTGAGCACCTGCCACACACCAAGCCCAGTGCAGGACAGATTTTCTATTTCTCCTTTCTTCTTCTTGTGAAGTGGTTTATGAGGCAGGAAAGAAAAATTAGTTGCAGCTGTGAAGAGCCTGGAATGCTGGTTAGAGTGTTTAAACTTTTTTTCCCTGAAGATGGGCTATGGGGAGCCCCAGAAGAGTTTTCAGTAGGGGGTGACATGGGCCAGTCACTCTTGTGGCTGAATGGAATTGGAATTGGATCAGAAGAGATATGCATGAAGGCAGGAGGCCAGTTAAAGGATTGTTGCAATGGTCCAGGCAGTGGTTCTCACACTTTACTGTGCTTCTGAGTGACCTTACAGGCTTATTAAGACACAGATTGCTGGGACCCACCCCAAGAGTTATTGATTTAGTAGGTCTGAGGTGAGGTCCAAGAACTGGCGCTTCTAACAAGTTCCCAGATGTTGTAGGTGATGCTGGTCCCACGCTTTGAGAACTACTGGTCTGTGAGAAATAGTATAGTAGCTAAGGTGCTGACAGAGGGGTGGAGAGAGATGTTTAAGGGTTAGAAATGACAACAGTCTATGAAGATGAGCTTGCGGGGGTGAGGAGGAGGGCAAAGTCTGGGATGATTCTGGGGTTTTTTTTGGGGTGAGGAAGATTGGCCCTAAGCTAACACCTGTGTCAATCTTCCTCTATTTTTTATATGTGGGATGACACCATAGTACGGCTTGATGAGTGGTGTGTAGGTCTGCGCCCAGGAACCAAACTCAGGACCGCTGAAACAGAGCACGCGAACTTAACCACTACACCACCAGGCTGGCCCCGACTCTGTTTTAATTTGAAGGATGGTGGTGCCATTTACAGAACTATAGGACACAAGAGGAGAAGCAGATTGGGGTTGGTGGCGGGGGTGGAGGTGTTGAGTTCACTTTGAGACCTGGAAAGTCTCAGATGGCTGCAACAAGATGTCTGGAGGGAATACTCAGCTGGCAATTGCATTTATGAGATTGGATTGATACAGACTGGAGATAACCAGTTTGGGAGATAACAGAGGACAGGTAGTCATTAAAGTCTTGAGAAAGGATGAACTGACTCACGAAGAGTGTAGATAGGAGGAAAAGGCAGAAGACTCAATCCTGAGAATGAATAATTGACATTGAGGATGTGGGTGAAAAGAGAGGAGACAGAAAAGAAGACTGAGAAGTGGTCAGAGCAGAAAGGAGGAAAACGAGCCAAGAAGGGAGTGTCTTGAACTGCAGGGAAGTAGGGTGAAGAAACCCAAGGAAGCCACCGGCCAGGCAGCCCATCCTGCCATTCTGGCCTTCCCAAGCCTGCTGGAGAGAACACCGGATCCCCAGAGCTGGGCATGGGCAGCAACAGCCAGTGCCCACCATGGTAACACACAAACACATAGCCTACGCATGTTGGTGTAACGAACGCACACCATCCGCCATGTGGGTCAGTTACACTCATATTCAGTCAACAGTCTCTGGGTGTGACAGGCCCACACTCAACCAGCCGAGGCCCTCGTGGCTTCAGAAACATCTTGAGCCCTTCTCAGGTGGAACTCATGCCCAACCCCCGTTCCAGACAACTCTCTGTCTGGCCAGTTTGTGTCTTCAACCTCCTTGAAGTTGGGACTTTGGCTTGGGATTAGGAATTACCAGCCTGCGAAAGCCTGAGTGAAGTGGGCACCCTCAAAGGGGTTTGATCCAGAAACATTGAGAGAGACTGTGATACCCCCCCCAACACACACACATACACACACACACACACACACGCGCGCGCGCGCGCGCGCGCGCGCGCGCCTGCGCGCACGCACACGTGAGCCAGTGGGCTTGAGTCTGCAGCTCCCAAACTTTGTCCACATTCACGTTCGCCCACCTCATAATGGTGCAGTGAGGTGTTTAGAGAACGGACTGATACCCGTTTTACAGACAAGAAAGCTGAGGCCGCATCAGAGCAGCGCTTTGCCCAAACGCAAAGATGCAACGGAGCTGAGACGCAAACCTCCGGCCTCTATGTCCCAGCCTTGAATCCTTCCCAGTGTCACCACAGCTGGGAGCTTCAAGCCTAGAAGGCGTCTGAGACCTGCAGGGGCTGAATTCACCGGCTGCTACCCCCCTGTGGGGGCGCGCCAAAGCCACGCCTCCCCTGGAGCGGTCGCTGGGGAGAAGAGAGAAAACGGCCACAGCATGTCTCTTTAATGCGCGTCCCCGGAGGCCCGGCGCGCCCCCGCCACTATAACCGGAGTGTATGGAGCAGGCTGCGCTCAGAGGAAGAAGGGCGGGCGCTGGGCACCCGTCGACCGACTTTTCCAAGTGCGATCAGAGCCCGTCCGGCCCACGTCTTGCCCCCATGGACCCGCCCATGGGCGCCCACAGCTGAGGACCCGACGCCCGCTGGGCTCCGGGCTGGGTTGCACCCCGCCGCCGCAAAGTGCCCTCCGCCGGCAGTGCAGGCTCCCCGCGCCTCTGTCCGCAGGGCTCGCCGTCGAGCGAGGGCTCCGCCGCCGCCACGCCTCGCGCCCCACGCTGCCCGCCCCATGCTGGTGCACACTTACTCCGCCATGGTGAGTAGTCTCCGGGGCGGGGACACGGGGGCATACAGGGTCGGGGACTAGGGAGCCTGAGTGCTGGTCCTTGCGAACCTCCACCTCCAACGAAATCTCGGAGGGAGGGGGCCATAGGGACTCTTCCAGCTGAGAACGGTGCGCGCAGGAGACCGCAGTCCCCAGCCCGAGGCTCCCGCGCCCGCAGGTCACTCAGAAATAGATCTCGGGCCCCGGGAAGCGGGCAGGACGGCAGATGGACCCTCGCGAGCCGAGGAGGATCCTTTCGGGCTGGGGTCCTTTCAGCCGCCGGTGAGTCGCCTAACGCGCCCCTCTCCTTCCCCAGGAGCGCCCCGACGGGCTGGGCGCAGCGGCTGGCGGGGCCCGCCTGTCGTCTCTGCCCCAGGCGGCCTACGGGCCGGCGCCACCGCTCTGCCACACGCCCGCCGCCGCCGCTGCCGCCGACTTCCAGCCGCCCTACTTCCCGCCGCCCTACCCGCAGCCGCCACTGCCCTACGGCCAGGCGTCCGACGCCGCCGCCGCCTTTCCCCACCTGGCCGGGGACCCGTACGGCGGTCTAGCGCCCCTGGCACAGCCGCAGCCCCCACAGGCCGCCTGGGCCGCGCCCCGCGCCACCGCCCGCGCCCACGAGGAGCCGCCCGGCCTGCTGGCGCCGCCCGCCCGCGCCCTGGGCCTCGACCCGCGCCGCGACTACGCCGCCGCGGTGCCCCGGCTCCTGCACGGCCTGGCCGACGGTGCGCACGGCCTGGCGGACGCGCCCCTCGGCCTCCCCGGGCTGGCGGCGCCGCCCGGCCTGGAGGACCTGCAGGTGAGGCCCGAAGGGTCCGGGATAGGCCCGGGTCGGCCGCGGTGATTTAGGACTCTGTCTGGAGGCGAAAGAGTGAGGAATGCGGGGACCCGACTTTTCTCCCAGCCTGCCGCTTCTCGCTCGCGACTCCGAGGATGCGTCCCACGTCCTGGGGTAGATGCTGCTTGGCCATTAACGCGGCCTGGCACTGAGTCCCTGCGCGGTGCCTGGATGGCGGCAACCCTCGGCGGAGTAAATGGACAGGGGCCGAACCACTTCTCTCCCTCTCCAGTGGGCCACGTAGGGCATCCATGCCCAGTCTCAGTCTGCCGGGGCAGCCGTGCCTGGAGCGGAGAGAGGCGGGGAAGTTGCCTGTCTGTCTAAGGTTCACAGTTCCCGTTCTGCACGGCACGGCGAGGTACCCAGGGCTCCTGGCTGGGCCGCAGATGCTGCCGAGGCAGGGCGAATCCTGCATCCGCCCGTCTCCGCCCCAGGCGACGGTGGTGCGCGTGGGGCGGAGCAGACAGAACAGGGACCAGTGACAGCAGGGGTTTGGGAAGGGACTAGAGACTAGTTCCACGGACGCCCTTACCACCGCCTCTCCTGTTTGCAGGCCATGGATGAGCCCGGAATGAGTCTCCTGGACCAGTCCGTGATCAAGAAAGGTAAGGAATGGCTGCATCTGCCAGGGCAGAACCGGGCGAGACGGTGCAGGCCCCGGACGCGCAGACCCATTTTCTTTCCTGGGGAGCGTGCGTTTTGTGCGTCGTCAGACTCGGTGGCCACGGGGTACTCTTTCCCGCCCAGCAGACGGGTAGCGGAGCCTGAGGGCCTGGCCAGAGCTTGGGTAGCTGCGCGCTTGGTGAGTCGGCCCCAGAGCCTGCAGCCGGGAGTGGGCTCGAGGTCATCCGCGCCCACTGGGCTGCCCGGGCCAGCCAAGCCACACAAACCCTACGGAGGGGAGGGCGCTCTTGTGGATCTGGAGTTAATTTGCAGAACGAGTTAAACCACTTCCCTGTTTCCTAAGAGGTGGGAACGGGGTGCTGTTCCCACGGATTTCATTAAATGATTTCCACATTACATAGCCTTACCATTTCCGAGCCTGGCAAGTGCTTGCGGCCCCTTCCTTCTCAGCAGAGCCTCGGCGGCCTCGTGTTTGCCTGGGGAATTTTCTCTCCGTGCAGGAGCCTCTTTCAGCCTTTAGGATTAAGGGAGCTGGTGTGTGAATGTCGTGTGTTAGGCGGTGTGCAGGAGGGTCAGGGTGGCCTGCTCCTGGGTGTTGGTGTCTACGTGAGTTCGAGGTCCTGTCTGTCTCCGTATGTTCCTTTCCTAGGTGTCTTTCTGGTATCTCTTGGCGTGTAGGTATGTCTCTGTTGCTGAGTGTGTGATGCGTGTCTGTTATGTTGGCATACATTTCTGTGGTTTGGGGGTCTCCATGTGTGTGTTAGGGGCTCCGTAGTGTCCCGGAATTTGTTCTTCGGTACCGAGGATCTCCTAGCATGTGAGGGTCGCTCCTTGTGTATTTTCGGGAGTGTTCTGTCTCTGCGTTAGTAAAAGCCAGGGGTTTGAGACCGACCCTCTAGTGTATTTTCGGGCCTGAGGACGAGTTCTGGCCATGCCAGGGAAAGGTGAGAAAGAGACAGAAAGACAGAAACAGAGATTCAGAGGGGTCCAGGCGCTTCACGGCTCCTTAGATTTGGGGCGGGTGCCCAGGAGGAATTGGAGGTGCAGACAAGCCCTGCGTGCCTGGGGCAGGCGCCGCTCCCGCGGGATTTGGCTCAAATTGTTTTTCAAAAGAGTGCATTCAAGCCCGGGCTGTTTGCCCTCCACGTGTTCTCGGGGGAGGCTGGGGCTGGGGCTGGGGCTGGGGGTCGGGCGCTGGATTTCCAGGAGCTGGGGCTGGGTTCCCAGGGGCTGACAATTAGCTGGACCGCCTGGAGAGTGTGTAGAGAAGAGAAGGGGACGGGCCTCCTGGAACTTAGGGAAGGAGTGCTCCAGGTATTGCAGCTGTGTCATCTGGAACTGGGGGTGTGGCGACGACGCTAGGAACCCGGCGGCCTGGACTGGGGGCGGAGGTGTGCGTGGGACCTTACTCTTTGCTGTTGGGCGCTGCCCTGGCTTAGTGGAACTTTTTGAACCCGTCGGAAGGAAGAGTTAGGTCTGCAGTTGGCAAGAGCCTATCGCTGGGCTGCGTCTACTCTTTGACAACGATCGATCGTGGTCGCAGCCCCCAGCTCCGGACTCCTGCACTGGCTCGGGGAGCTGGGGGACCTAGGCTCACTGACTCCCTGGAGGAGGCCAGCCCCCTGCATTTTGGGAAGAGGCTTGAGGACCTCTGCCCTGGGGCAGCGTAGAGGATCAGTTGGGGTTCTGAGTTCCTGAAACCCCAATCCCCAGGCCAGAGCCAGGACAGGAGACTGGCTTCGAGGAGGTCCTGGAATGGCCCGAGTTGGTTTCTCTCAAAGGGTATCAGCTTCCCTAAATCCCGGATCGTAGGTGTGCGCCCGGAATCCCCAAAGGCGGTCCCAAGAACACAGTGAGTGCAGCCGGGACTGTCCTGATGCGGGGCATCGCCGACCTGGGTGCGCACACCGGCCGGACGACAGTGTTGGCCTGTCGGTGGCCCAGCGCAGCGTGGTGGAGTGCCGGCGACCAGAGCCGGAGACTGCGTCCTGGGCGCTCCACCCCGACGTCGAGTCACAGCCCCGAGCGCTGCAGGGGGCTGGGGGTGCGCTCCCTGCAGAGGGAAGCACCTGGGTCTCGAACCGTGAGCCTTCTGCTGGTGCGGCGGGCCTTTGGGGAGGAGAGAGGGTCATACCGGCGCTTTCGAGCTTTGTAAACGCGGAGGCGGAGCTGGTTCCGGGAGGGCCAGTCCTAGGCGCGAGCGTGCGCAGGCGGCCGAGCGGAGCCGCTGTGGCTAAGCTGGTGGCGGTGGAGCTCTGCGCGCAGCGGGCAGTTTTCGCCTAGGCCCTGCGCTGTCGTTGAGGGACTCTGGTCAGGTCACCAGCCCCTTAGGGGCTGTAGATTAGCGCCCTTCTTCTCCCTCAGGCCCTTCCGACAGCATTGGGAGCCCCTGTCGTGTCCTGAAGACCTCCGGCACCCGCCGGGATCCTAGTCCGACGCGGGCCCTGGAATCATAGCCATTTTTGGCTAGCTGAAGCATCCGGTTCCTCCAGCTCCTCCCGGCCCTGGTGGTGGGGCCGGCTGTGTCGCGGGCAGCTGTTGGGGGTCCTGAGTACAAAATGAAGGCAGCCCCAGCTCTACCCCAGAAGAGGCCTTCCTACCGCAGGGTGCCGCCGGGGAGGGGAGCCCAGAGGCTCTGGGGCCCAGACCTTGGCTGTAAAATCTTCTCTGCTCCAAGCACTTGTCCTGGGGCGGGGAGGGGAAGCGAAGCCTCTGTCCAACCACACATTTGCAGATCAGCTGCTTCTTGCAGCCACGGTGTGGATCCGAGGATGGCAGATAGGGCCTGGCAGGAGGAGAAGCAGGGAGCTCTCCATTTTCTGCCCACATTTATCACCTCCAGTTTTGCTCCCTGTCCTAGAGGCACAGAAAGCAGGCAGGACTGGCAGGGGAGACAGACTTTGAAGGGAAAGTTTTCTAGCTGAGAAGAGTGGTGAGCAGGGTCTGTACAGATACGTCTAATTTTATTAGTTTTTCTTTTTGAAGAAAGAACAAGTTAGAAAAAGCAGAGTGGTTCTCACAGGGGTCCCATCGGCTGGAAGCAATGCTTCCCATCAACCAGGAAACACCTGTTTCGGGGAGCTCAGAGGAGGTGCCGTGATGTTGGGAGGATTCCTGGGGGAGAGACATTAGGACCCGGCTCAGTAGGTGCTCCATGGGTGTTTGTTGAATGAATGAGTGATGGGTTTTGAAGTCTGAGTGCATTGGGAGAGGGAGTGTAGAAAGGGCCAAGCTACACCCTGGGCACAGCATGTACAAATGCCCTCGACTGTACAAAAGCCAGACGGGTTAAAAAGGTTAAAAGTCTCTGTGGATTTCAAGTTAAACAGTCACAGCTGGAGGGGAGTGGTTTGGGGGTGAGAACTGAGTTGTTCCTCCTTCCCTCCAGGAAGGGGGGGGGGGGTTTGCCGAGCTGGGGGTGGGAAATCCCTCTTTGCTGGGCTCTTGTCCAATCTCAGGGCATCTCCAGGGCAGGACCTGATGTAAATTGTCACCCTCTCCTCTGGGGAAGGAAGAGGGAGATGGGGACAGTCTGGGCTTCCAAGTGACTCTCCAAGCAGGGCCAGGCCTAGGGGGAGGTGAGTGAGGCAAGATTTAGATAAATGGTATATCTAAATGCAATATTTTAAAGTGGAAAATAATGCAAAAAATCCATGATAAACACAAATATCGAAATTTTACAAAAAGGCAGAATCCGACCCTGCACTCCCACAACCCTGTCTCACTTGCCTCCCAGGCCACTGCCTGCCCCAGAAAGGGATGGAAAAACCAGTGCCCTTGCAGATAAGAGTTTGGGCTGCACCCGAGGGCAGCACGGAGCAGGGGGTGAAGGGTAGGAGCTGTATGTAAAACAAACCCGCTGGCAGTTGGTGAGAGGGAAATTTAACCAGCAGGTCCTGCTACCTCTTCTGTCTGCCTTCCTCCTGCTGCTCCTCCCTCCCCCCAGGCTTTGGAGCAGTGGCACCCTAAGCGTGGTCTAAGGAACCACCAGCATCAGAACCCCTTGGGGGTGCCTGTTGAGGAATGAAGATTTCCTGGGCACCACCCCACATCTACTGAATGAGAATCCCGGGCACTTTCATTCTTTAATGGATTTATTGAAGTAAAATTTACATACCTAAAATTCACCCGTGGTAAGAGTATAATTCAATGACTTTTAGCACATTTATAGAGTTGTGTAACCATTACCACAAGCCATTTTAAGACATTTCTATCACCGCCCCCAAATTCCTTCATTCCCATTTGTAGTTAATTCCCATTCCCACCCCAAGCCTTAGGCAACCACTGATCTGCTTTCTGTCTATAAATTTGCATACTCTGGACATGTTATATAAATGGAATATATAAATATGCAGACTTTTGCATTTAGCTTCTTTTACTTAGCATAATGTTTTTGAGGTTCATCTGTGTTGTAGCACGTGTCAGTAGTTCATTTCTTTTTATTGCTGAGTAGTACTCCATTGTACGGATGAAACACATTTTGTTTATCCATCCATCAGTTGATGGACACTTGGGTTCTTTCCACTTTTTGGCTATTATGAATAATGCTGCTATGATCATTCACATACGTACATGTCTTTGTGTGGACATCTGTTTTCATTGCTCTTAGGTAGTAATTGGAATTGTAAGTTTGTGTTTAATTTTTTAAGAAACTGCCAAGCTCTTTTCTAAAGTGGCTGTTCTATTTTACATTCCCGCCAGCAATGCGTGAGTGTTCCAGTTTCTCCACAGCCTCACCTACACTATCTTTTTTATTATAGTCATCCTAATAGTATCTCAGTATAGTTTTAATTTGCATTTCCCTAATGACTAAGGATGTTGAGCATTTTTTCACGTGCTTATTAGCCATTCATATCTCATTTTCAGTGAAATGTCTATTCACATATTTTGACCTTTTTTTTTTGAAGATTTTATTTTTCCTTTTTCTCCTCAAAGCCCCCCAGTACATAGTTGTATATTTTTAGTTGTGGATCCTTCTAGT